GCAGAGCACAGAAAAGCTTTTCCTTTGTACGGGTGCGCAATTTGAACCGAACGTTCGCACCCCAACTCACCCCACCCCTCCCCACTCTCAGCCACTCGTATTGTGTGCGTAGCGTAGAAAGGTTTCGGCTGTATGGGTATGGGTATGCAATTTGAACCGAACGTTAACATCCCACCCCACCCCACTCTCAATCACTCGTATTGTGTGCGTAGCGTAGAAAGGTTTCAGCTGTATGGGTGTGCAATTTGAACCGAACGTTAACATCCCACCCCTCCCCACCCCATGTGCTTTGTAGTGTCCTAGGTCCCCTAGGCGTGTCTACGCTATACGCATCTATACGTGTGTAGCACCTGCTGTCCGCGCATAGTTCATAGTTCCGTATCTAGACTCTTCGTACAGCTTTCAGCTTAATTCATTCCTTCACTTCTGGCTCAAGATTGAAGCCCGCGCATACTGTACTGCGCGCCATAGAAAAGTGAGCTCGCTGACACTCGCATACGACTCCGCATCGCATTCGGGCATACTTGGTGTATTCGATCAGGTCCTTTGTTGCTAGGTTACTTCACTGCCACTTTGGGGAACTTACCCCTCACCCCCCCACCCACCCCACATGCTATGATGCGCTTGACGGACACGAATGCCAAAAAAAATATGTAAATACCACACGAAACTACAAAGTGCCGCAAATACCGCACGAAATCGTGTGCGAAAACAAGATCTAAAGACCGGCCAACAACCGCGACCAAGTTTGACTACGCACCAAAAAAACAAGAGAATAACAAGCGAACAAAAAGAACATAACAGGAAGACAATGACAACGCCCGAACAAAGCATTCACCGGCCAGAAACTGTGGCCAGCTTCTTTTTTCCTGAAAGAGAATCCGAACAATCAAATTGTTTGGAGAAAAACCATTATATATACATATATATATATTAAATATGAATCATTTAATACTTCTTCTATATTTGCATTTATATATACCTGTTTCTTTGCCAAATATTTTTTGTCCAAATTCCTTAGGAAATAGTTTTTGGCTTGATCTAAGTAATACCGTGCAATTTCAAAAGCTCTTCCCTTAATACATGTTGAAATCGTTGCGTCAAATTCAGGAAGAAGCAGCTCAGCTGAAGTATCCAAAGGTCGGATCTTTTGCAGCAAAACCAAAGCGGTTGACCAAGAAAGCCCAGTGCAGCAACACCTGATCCCTGCGGCAATCGGTGCAATTGTTGTCTCCAATGTAGTGCCAGCCTCGGGAGCTTCATCGCACAGTATTTGTAGGCAAAGCTGCCAAGCCAGGCTGGCTCTGTGGGAAAATGTTGGATTCGACATTTTGGCCACCAAGCTGGTAAGGTGAACTGTATAAGTCGTCTCAGTCCACCGCAAGCTCCGCTCCACAATCTGAGCAAGGATGGCCACACCCAATGGCCAGTGCTCCGTAAACGCACTCACCCTTGCAATTGCATTGTGAGTGACAGTGTCAGCCCTCAGGGTCCTTGACTGAAGAGAGGTCAAGATCCTGCACGTATCTCTCCACAAAAATGGCTCGTGTCCTCAGCCAAATCGATGTCATGAAACAAGTGCCCCTAGTGTCTGCATGTGACTAGCCAACCAAATCTCTTGTATGTGTGTCTAACGTGCCAAAAGCGTCCAAAAGGACTTTGGGTTGGCATCAGAAATTGCAGGCACCAATCTTTTCCTGACCTTGGACTCTTACAGCAGTTTCACCACTATATACCCAGTTTCGCGGTAGTTTAGCCCAATGCGTGAGCAACAAAGCCGAAAGAAGAAGAGTTCGGCAAGGTTTATGCACACTGCAGCATTGAGGTTGTGTATGTGAAGCTGAAGCACAATGGCAAGAATCAAGATGTGCAAATAAGAATCTCAAGAGCAAGAATACTGAAACTGAGGAACCGGCCAGCGGCAACAGCACTGTACATAAAAACATTCTTTTGTATGCCATTCCAGTCCAACTTCTCAAGCTGCTGAGCAGACAAATTCCATTCCGATGCTTTGCTAAGGCCTTCAATTGCAGCCAGGCAAGCCGTATCGGTACAGAACGCTTGGGGCCGACTGACAAGCATAGCTGAGGCTCTTTCCCATGCCAAACGCTTTGCCAATGCATCAAGGCAGGCTGCCAGGTTGTACGCATCGCTTGGGACTCTCCGCTGGCTCATCCCAACGAGTGACATGACAGAATGCTTCCAATGTTGCTGGTATCCTGATGCTAGCGAAGAGTACGTCACAGGATCTGCTTCAAGGCGTCTGCACAACAAAAGTTGGGGAACATTTAGTGCTTTTTGCCAAACCCTGCGGAGGCTACTGCTCAGCATATTCCCAAAGGTCAAATCAATCTGAACGTCTTCCACCTCGGCATCCACGAGCAATTGTAGCAACTGGATCCAGGAAGCAGTTGCACTAGCAGCGGCCCGAAAGGAGCGCGCATCCCGGGCAAGGTGCTCCACAGCCATGTGTTGGAACAAAGACGTGGCCTCTCATTACACCAATTAAGTCGAATGCTGTATGATCATGATCGCTTACCTCTAATTTCAAGAAGCACCGGTGTCACATCTGTTCACTTTCGCCCTGTGGAGTCAGAAAATGGGCAGAAAAGTGAGGAGAATGTGGGCAATAATCAATGAAACTTGACCGAGAGAGCGCGCGCGCAAAAAGACATAAACAAATCACAAACATACTCTATATAATGAAAACCCTTGTATGTGCAAGCTATGACATGAATGAAGAGTCCACGGAAGGTGTTTCGATGTGTGTCTCTTGATGTTCTTGGTGTAACTTAGCGTCTTTATGCGTCTTTTAATCAATGGACTGCGATTGAGGGGGTGTTGAGTGGCACTTGAAAAAACCCACAAAGGAGGAACATGGGCGGCTCAAGATTTTGGCGATATATTAGGTTGGAGGCCATCGCTAGTATCGCCGGAACTCCGTTGATCTCCAATGCTTTCCGGCAGCTTTTGCCAAGGCACAGCTTCTGTATGCTTCTGTCTTACATGTTGCATCATGTTACCTAGCTGTTTGCCATGTCGGAACCACTGAACTGCCCCTAGCGCTCATACCGTGGAGCTGTTTGTTGATAGGGGACCTTCCGATTTCCAGATATCGAGATGAAGGGGATGCAGGAAACTGTGACCCTGAATTCTTGAGGTCGCATCCGGACGTGCGGCACCTGCGTGCAGGTCATATCCGGGATCACTTGTTGACTGTGGATTTTCGTGCACCGGAGCTGATGATGTGATAGGGCTGTTTTTGGCTGACTTCGGCTTTTTATGTTTGCCGGGATTGGGTAAACCGATAAACCCATGTTTCTTGTACAAACCTAATGGCTCTCCGCATCCTTGGCGCCGCTTTGCGCGGCTGGATGCAGTGGTGGATGGTCAGCAGCAAAGCGGGTTTGTGTCTCTCGGGCCAGCACTACGGGGAGGGAGTGTTGCCTGGCGCCGTTGTGTGTTTCCAAATTGTTTTCCAAGCGGGGTAGGGGTGGTGATGCGTCCCTGCCCAGGCTAGCACTTGGCATCCATCAATTGCGCGAGAGCCTTATGCTTTGTAGCTACTATCCCCTAGGCCCTAGGAAACCAAATCAAGACAATGAACCCAAGCAAAAGACTGGTTGAAACAACATGGTGGAGGCTGAAATTCCCTTTAGACCCTGGAGGCCTGCTGCCATTCGACAATGGCCAGCCCAGTGATGGCAGCATTGAGGCCAGGCACATTGCAGGGCTGCTTCCCTTCACGTCGTGACAAAAGCAGAAGGATTCTCCAAGAATGCCCTTCTGCACAGCATTTGATGCATGAGTTTAAAGAAATTGCGTCCGGCATCATCCTTGAATTGCTCATTCGCTCCAAGATGTTTAAGCTGTGCTCCCAGTCCTTCTGGCCTGCAACCAGCAGGCCTGAATTCCATGATATCACATCCAGTTCCAATCCTCTTGCCAAGGCTGTTTGTAGAAGATGGACTCCAAAGGACCAATGTTTTTGACAGGCTGCAAGTGCAGTATTCAAGAATATCACCTGGCTTCTGCGCATCTGTTCGGCATCCCCACTTTCCATGCTTGAGGAAGAGCCATTGTCCGTCAAGAGAGTGTGGCAAAGATGCATGGCTTGAAGCCAAATGCCTTCATGGCCTTCACCTTCAATGTGTCTGGCCAGGGCACCGAGGAGCGCACCGAAGGTAACACATGTTGGTCGGATGAATGAAGCCCTCATAACATTGAGCACCGCAAGGCTGTGCCCCCAGGATCCCTTGCCCAAAGCAGTTAGAGCAGAATTAAACGCAACTACATCAGGTCCTGGTTTGAGTCCGTTTTCAGAGCGAGAACTCTTCCGAGCTTCCCAGCGCATACATGCCTGCAAGAGTTCCCATGCTTCCCTCCAGTCGCTTCTTCTTCCAAGTTCTGCGAGGACATTTGCCAGCCCCCAAAGCTTCCCATTGCGCACTTTGATGCCATGGGCCTCTGGCGTCATTCCTCATCCGCATTGTGCTAGTAGCTCCTTCTCGCAAGCAAAGCCTCTTTTGATAGGCCTCGCAAGGTTGGCATGGCACTTGAGCTGGACCAAATACTCTGACTATAGCATACTACGCAAACAGTATGTACAATGTAGCAGGTGAACATGGAATTCCTTTGTGCCATGAGAGTCATGCAGCACGCACAATCACTGGACCCCACTCTGCGTACAACATCGCTCGAGCCGCTTGATAGTACATGATGGCTGAATAACTTGAGCACAGCAGCAAAGCAAGCTGCCCGCTTGTGGCTGACTCGCTCAACCTCTAACATGGCCAAACTTGTGCTGAGCAACGGGGCCACCGAAAAGAAAATAAATCTTTTCCTGTGTCATGGAGCTCAGCTCTCAGCTGGAAAATACAGGCAAAGGCCCGCTAAGACAATCTGAGCCTATGGTCAGGACAGCCTCCAAGCCAAAACATCTTCGAACAGTGCCCAATCCCACAAACTGTTGAATGCACATGCAGGCCTTGAAAACAAACTTAAGCAAAGGAGCTTTGGCCACCTCAACACTCATGCAATCACTCTTCCAGCTTTCCTTGCTGATCTGAAATTTATCTCGTTTGTTTGGGGGATATCATGTCTCTGGTTGCCCCTCTTGCTCACACCAACGGCTGCCCAACAAAGCTTGGAGCGCAGGCGGGATGCAGTTCCAGCATGGCGACGGGCCAAACGCTCAAAGAAATCCAGCAGCCTGACCAGAGCGTTCAGCAATATCGACAACAATCTTTAAGTTCGAGATCAGTGTCAAGGTTGGGCCGTCATCACGCTTCTACCAACCGGGACTGGACAAAATACTCAAATAGTGCATCGTGCCTATTCCAGGCACAAAGGTCCATTTCAGATACAAAAAAACTATGCGAGTCTTCTGTGGAAGTTTGGCGGGCTTCACACATTTGATATACACTTATCATCTTTGTACGCAGGTTCTGGTTTGCTCAAATCCTTTGTTAACTTTCCTCTGCCTCGAGCGCCCCTCAAAATCTATTCTGCCCCGTGCATCCTGACCGGGCAGCCAAGAGCTATGGTCAGATCTGTGGAATGAAAGCGGAATGGCTTTGTGTCTTTGCTCTGTGAAAGGCCAAAGCTGAACAAAGTCCTTGGCTGCTCTATCCATTGCTTCATGGCCTGTAAGGGAGCTGCGCAGTCAAGATTTCAGTGTTGTGGTCCCGAGGACTATAAACTTGTTACCTTTTGCTGAAAGCATTGTGTGGGCTATGGTGGATTTAGACTTGAGGCCAAAGTCGGCGGAAAAAACCTAGGAAAAACTAGGAAAGTAGGGGTGCAGGGTTGGAGCTTGTGATGGAAAATTGTGAACAGCCCAACGAAAATCATACCACTTGTCTTTCCAGAAGGGTACGGGCTTTGTGTGGACAAAAAGCATATAGGAACGTGGGGGTGTGAACTGGTACAGTAACTCCTACAATTCCAATTTTCTGACCGCGGGCAACCGTTGAGTTGGGGTCCTTTTGGGTGGCTCTTCCATGACCAAGTGATCAGACCAGCGATGAGAGGCCCATGGTGACTCAATCATCTCAATACTTCAGATTCTTAACTAAACCATGCTAAACCTGCAAGCTGGCTGATACTGCAAGTTGCTGCACTAGACCTGCGAGCCTTGGTCAGAAATGGCCCGAATGGAAAACCTGACGCACCAAAAACATGAATACACTGCAAGTAACGTATGAAATGATTATATTGCATGTGGCAGGCTTGCCTGATTGGAATTTCTTTCTTCACCTCCTCCTCAGTCTTTTGGGCCTTCTTTGTCCCATCATCTTCCCTAGGCGACTTTGGTGCTCGAGGCGGTGCTCGAGCGTAGCCCCGTCCAGCCAAGGTTCCGAGGATTTGGATCGCTCTTTTCCGGCATTCGCACGGTGACGATGAAGTCAGGCGGCAAAGGCCTGGTAAAAGACTGTGCAAGCCGTCCTTTTTGAGCTCTTCAACACGAGTGGTCCCAAATAGATAGAAATGGACAATTGCTTTTGGTGTGGAGGCCGTCGCTGCTAGGGTGGAGGCCATTGCTCTTAGGGTGGAGGCGATTCCTACTAAGGTGGAGGCCATTGCTCTTAGGGTGGAGGTCATCGCTACTAGGGAAGATGAAAAGAAACAATTGCTTTTCTGTCCCGATCTTGGCTAGGCGAGAGTAGCTCTCCAGGTGGCCGGCCCAGGAAATCCATCTGGGCCATATTGAGCTAGGCTCTTCTGCGCTTCAGAGACCTGCAAGTTGTCACAAAGACCCGAACAGCACCCCCAAATGGGAAGACGATTCTAGGGCTTGCGGCCACTCGAGCATCAATGCATTCTCCGAAAGGAGGCCTGAGCTTCCCCAAACACGGCTTATTAATTTGAAGAATCAAATGCCGTTCGCTGGCTTCCCTGGGGCATCCAGCCAAAGCTGACAGCTGGCACCAGAACGCCAAAGGCCAGCAGCCACCTCATGTTTCAGCTTGGTGCCCGATGTGTGTTTTGCTGTGGCAATAGGTGTTCTAGGGCACTCACATGAATGGCCTAGCAAAGGCGAACAGCAAGAGGTCATTTGAACTACTTGATGTTTCCACTCGAAGTCAATTGCAAGCAGTGTACTGTGACGCCTCAAGATGCCATGATTCACCGGTCTCACCACTGGACCTGGCTAAAACAATCTCAGAACACTGGTTGAAGCACTGCGCCTGACATTCTCATGTCTGACACCTCTCTTCTCGCGCAGCCGGCCCCAAAAGCACAGTTGGCCAACCTGCATGCAGTGTCATGCAGTGAAAACTCTAAATCTGCCACTTGAGATCCAAGCATGAAGCAAATTGCCGCCACCAGGGTACAGAAGCCTAAGGAATGCCACGTGCAACTTTCCCATTTCCCAACTGCCAAAGAAGAGGTGCCCCTTGTGATGATTTGATCTTCTATGTTCATCTTCGCCTCTCTTGACATCAAATTACTTTTTCCGCTCCATCTGAGCTGGCGCTGGCTCAAAAAACCAACGAAGCACCGCCATCAACATAAATCGTCTGACCAGTCATGTACCTGAACAAATGTGAACACCTTTCACTGGGTGATTGTCATTGGACTGAGAAGCACAACTTTGTGGGCCTGGACCTCACGCAACACATCACAGCTTCCGCCATATCTGCCTTGGTATTTGTTGCACCCAGTCTAGGGTGATGCAGGCCGCGGCCCATGAGGTTTATCCGATGTCATATTGTCATGCAACTTAAACTGGCAACTAGTCATCATTCTTGCAACCTTGTGGCTGGTTGCCCAACTCGCTTGAGAGGCGTATGTGTTTTCACTGCTGCATATGAAGCACCCCACTCCTCACTTGCCACTCGCAACCACAACTTGGGGCGTTCAATGGTTTGGGAGGTTGAAGGCCTGAATGATCTCGACGCATCATCTATATAGTCTTATATATCCATATATATCCTATATTACTGTCTCCTTATGTATCCTTTCCTCGAGTTCATGTGGAACAGGCGAGCATAAGAGCCAAGGTTCACCGCCATGTGTGATCCGTGTCTCTATCAGGCCTGGGGCCACACAGTTCACCCGCACTGGCCCGTGGCTTTTTGCGAGCAGTTTTGTCAAGTGATTCATAGCCTCGGTTGTGGCAAATTATGCAGGAGCTTCAACACATTTGTGAGCATGCTGCTGAGGCGGCCACAGCTCTGGTCATGCCTAAGTCAAAGTCATGCCGTGTAGCAATCTCTACATGTAAAGAGCTTGCCCGCACCAAACCCACCATGCAAGGCACCACACCCACGTGCATGGAAGAGTCTCGCACAGCCATACTGGATTCCTGTATAAATGTGTCAGCCGGATGACCATGCCTGTCTGCATGTCAGGAAGTTTCAGGTTTGCTTTGCAATTTTTGGGTACGAGTCCTTTGCCAGAATCTCCTGCAATACTGGTCCCTGATCGCTCCACTCCAAGACTGCTCCAAGGCACTATATGGGATGCTGCTTCCCATAGGCCGTCCACCAGCCGCAGAGCCAATCATAATGATCGATGAGTTCTCCACGCTCTTCAAATGAGGCATTGCCTGGTGTCTGATGTTGGGGATGCTCGAAAATTTGTTGGGATCCAGTCAATCCAACAACTAGGCCCTGTGCTGCACGACTTAGCCAAAGTGGCCCAAAGCAATTCAACGCCTTGGCTGGTGAAACTTTGCATTGTCTTGAGTCATGAGCGGCACGGTATACCAATCAAAAAGCCACTAGATTCTCCAGCCATGGCTCAAAAATCTTGTGCAAGTACCTCGTGATGCAATCCACAACTCAATTCAAAAAGCTCAACTCAGTTGGTGGAGTTTTGCGGGGAGGTGACAGCGGGCGCTCGGATTTTCCAAGACGAGAGCAAAGGTCCCAAGGTTCCCAGGGGCACCGCACAGCGATTTCCTTTGGACTTGTGGCAGTATGGGCATGACACATATTTGCCAAGGAACTGCACTGCAGAAAAGTACTTTCTAATTAAAAGCTCATCTTCAGATGGAGCTCAAGATGGGGTGACACCAAAAATGCTTTGTGGTCAGCCTTTGTCAGGCCCTCGCTTAAAAATCAGCCCAAACTCTTCAAACAACTTGAAATTGATTTTATGGCAGAAGCTCCGCGGTCTCCTCGTAGTTAACGGCCCGCTTGAAAGATGTCTGAGTATTGGCCAGCATTGTGAGGAGCACCTCTTGGAATTCACTTGATCTGATCCCGGAGAGCGTCATTGACGCAAAGAGCTTGGTGGTGAAATTCATCGTGGTATAGAAAATGCGTTCACCACGATAGCTCACAGCACCTCGCAGCCTCAACAAGTACACAATGCCGTAGATGCCAAAAACCAGCACCAGGGCGAAAGATAGCAACGGTCGACCAAGAAGTTGACCTGCGATTCGAACATGGGAGAAAAGCACTGATTGACAATGCTTTAGCAAATCCACCAGCCTTCTGGATGCTTTCGCCGCCAACGTGCTACCCAAAGGACCATTGTCCATGAAGCCCGGAAATACATGAGAAAAGACACCTCAGTCTTCATTCATGGCACTAGACAGCAAGACATGGTGAACACCAAAGAATCAAGATGCATAAGAAACCAATATTATTTTCACCAGGGCACAGAGACGAGGGTGTATCTGATTGGCTCATTTGGAATGAAATTTGCGGTCCACGCAAAGGTCATGTACACGTTCGTCACCTACAGGTTGAGACTAGCACGATTTCATTTCCAGTGCACCAGCATAGATCGAGAAAAATCGATCCATCAAGGCAGTGGGGATTGCACATGGATTTTGCGATCAACCACTAAACTAGGAAAGCTCTCCCTCTCTCTCTCTCCCTCTCTCTCTGCTCAAACTTCAATCAACATATTCCACTCGACTCGGCGCGAACTGGGTCTCTCAAAACCCACCGAGCCACAATGAGCGGCTCTGCAACTTCTTGAGCTGGTCGTCCCAAGGCGACGGTGCCGGCAAGAATGATCAAAATTGGCACGTTGATCAGCCACTCCTCATGTGCCAACGCTTTAGAGCCAGTTTGAGCCTCTTGGAAAACACGCATTCCAAAAATGTGTGTGTTTCTTTCTTCATCTTTTCAGCTTAGATTCAGCAAAGAATATTGTGTAGACAGGCTGGTGGTCAAGATCTGATCTTCCCAAATTTGCTGCGTGAACAAACCAGGGAGTATCGCTGGTGAAGAAAGGAAGGTTCTCGACCAAAAGCACGGCAAATGTGATGCACAAGAGTGTGGAAGGAAGAAGTGAGTCCTTGATGTTGGGGATCAAGTGAATGGCCTTCTTGGCGGTCCTATACATCAGAATCACTGACACCATCTCATGTAAAAAGACTGATCCAAGAGCACATTCGATGAAGGCGCTATAAATATTTAAATCCTTGGCAGCATCGTGATACTGCCTACACTGGGTCGAATCGTGGCATGCCACGGGGCGAGCCGACGCATAGCACAAAGCTGTCACAAGAGCGGTGACTATGACCCATGTGATCTTGCGGGTGGAGAGTTTCCGGAGCAAATTGCAACAGTTGTCTGGGCCACTCTCAACGCTTTCAAGCTCCAAGTCCGTCATGTTCAGGCGAGACCGGGACTTTGACTCAAACGAATTACTCATGTGTGCATTTCCAAATTTTTGCGGCGCTGCTGCCTTTCCCAAATCAGCTGGCGTGCCCGAGGGCTCGTTGGGCTCTGGCAACACTGGATGAGAGCCACGCATCATGTTCAGAGTGGCTAGTGTCCTGCTCTTCAAGCCATAGTGCTTGAACCCATATCAGCGGCAAAGCAAGTTGGAAGCACATGATAGGTGAATGCAGGCATATGCGTTCAGCAGTTAGTTACGGTCCTCTCTCCTACTGTAAACAAGCCTTCGCAATCTTTCAAATCTTTGATTCCATGATCACTCTGTGCAATATGTTCCGCATTCAGGCCAAGATTCGCGTCGTCAATGAGTTCAAGGTTATCATGGGGAATCCATTTTCCAACACCGGCATTACCTTAGAGTTTGAACTGAACATCCACATGTCTATTCCATGTAAACCGCAGCACATGGGTAACGTAAGCCAACAATCAGAATTGATGTGAGACGGGTCACATACCAAAAGGTCAAGTTGCCCACAGCGATCAATGACCTCCTTGACTAGTGCTTCACAGCCTTGACGAGTACTGCAATCAGCCTGAATGTACATGGCGCCCGGCAATTCGGCCGCAACTGCCTTCCCGTCCTCAACCGAAGAATGGCCTCAAACCCACAAATCAGCAATGGGAGTTTTTCATATCTCAAACTTGTCAAGACATGACATCATTGTGAATCTTGAGAATAAGACGCCAACTGTTTACCACCACCAGGAACCCCTCGGCTGCCAGCCGCTCTGCAATCGCCTGATCACTTGCCCCTTTTCTCTTCATGAACACTGCTACTCGACCATACTGTCACGGCACCATCAGTGGTTCCATGTTTGACTCAAAGGTGGGTCCTTGGGTGTGCCTTGATCCTGTTGCTCGCGAAAGTGCACGAGAATCACAACATTTGCCCACCCAAACATGTGGGTGCAGGGTGGCCCTTTGCTTTGGTTGAAGCCTCCCATGTCCGAAGCTGGCCACAAGTAGAGCCTGTAATTATAACGTCTGCATCGGCCAAGCCCAACCAAACGGAGCCCTTGCCTTGCCAATGCCAGAAGAACTGCCGGTAATCAATGCCACCCTTGGTCTTTCTTCACCTCTGCTGTGAATGCAAACATTCATTTTTGCATACTATGCCGGGTGAGCCTAGCACAAAAGAACAAAGGACAAAGCTCGAGAGCCGCCTGACATCGTTGGCCAACAAGTGAAACCTTAAAGTGTTCGATCGAAGCACACATGAAATTATTCTGGTGCAGCATCAGCAGGGCAGCGCTGCCCACGGAGCATGGAAGCAACACCCTCAAACACTTGCTGTCCTGGTCCAACATTGCTCAATTTGCGCAAGTGCATGCCAGTGTTGCATCCTTACTGATCCAAATTCGGGTACTTTGCCACAGCCGAAAATGATCTTTACATATCTTTACCAGGTACCAAATGGTATCAGTGCAGCATGTCAAAAAGGCGATTGCTTGGAAAGAAGCGGCGCTTTTGGGTAGAGAGCTATGTCATCTCTTTGCAGCGTTTGGGGTGACACAAACTTCGATCCTCTCGTGCTCGGCGCGTCTTCCGAACACCCATGCTGTCCTTGGAAAGCCTCCCAGAAGCCTTCAAAGTTCTCCAGGAAGCACCAGCAGCACCAAAGAAGCGTCGAGCTCGCATGGCCGCCATGGCCACAGCTGCTGCTGCAGCTGCTCTTGATCAAACAGCGGCCAACATGGTTTTCCGTTCGTCAACCAGTCTGTGCAAAAAAGCACTATTCAATTTTAAGTCAAGGAGTGTGGGTCAAAGGTCCGGGCGAGCAGGCTTTTACCACGCCTCGGAAGCAAGGTGGCTGTTTCGGATTTGAAGCTTTGGGCACACAAAACAAAACAATGCCGGGCATCACGAAACACTCTTTTGCAATCGTAGTGCTCTCTGTGAGGAGACAATTCTGCTCTTTCAGTCAAATGGGCTACATTGGCGGCTGCACCCGCCATGCAGCACGTCTTGCAGTTACACTCACAGCAGCGATGAAGATTGGTCTCGTAATGAAAGCCCGGGATCGAAATGGAGATGTACCCAGTCGGTATCACCGACGGTTTTTCTGAAAAGATTCAAGGCAGTTCCTTCAAGAACGGGCTCACCAGGTTGCAGCTTCAACGGTTTTCCAGGGAGCTTGGTCTGATTGACTCAGATCACCGAGTTCGATCGGATAGAAGGCAAACTTCTACTACAAGCCCGGCCGCGCGCATTACATTAATCTCCTCAGGCAGAAGCAAAAGCACCGTGATAAGTATTGGTAACAAGTGTGGCTTGCGATAATGAACTATCACTTGCGACAGTGGTATATACCACTTACAAAACAACAGTTTGTAACACAAGTGAATGCTGACGCAGTCCTTTGCTGTGAATTGGGTCAACTCTAAGAAGTAACTACAATTAACTACATATACGGATCCGATTGTACACATCCAACTCGGAGCGGATCGACTGAACATCATTTGTTGGAGACCTTTAAAGACTTGTCATCTTGTCCAACTGACTCATGGCCAGCCGCCTGGCTAGGTGAAATCAACCGACTAATTGTTGCTAGAGGCGTCGTCAGGCCATGGTTGCGAACCCTCCAGCGACAATCTACGTAAGCATTTTCCAGCTCCAAGCCTTAACAAATCCACATCTGCAGCGGGCTTGAACATGAAGATTTGTAGGCAAAACTGTCGAAGTGAGGCCCACTACCGCACTCCATGATTGATAGGCGTCACATGTACTTCCTAGCAGTTGCCACAACATGTCTTGTTGCACAACAACCAGCTACAAGTTGGCCAAAACTAAGCCTATGCCGACATCTATCATTCAAGGACCACGCTCCTCCATGACCAAGAGGCAGCTCATTCTTGATAGCTGCTGCTATCTGTATCCGTGCTTTTGGCCAATCAATGCCTTTCAGCCACAGCGCCTCCAAAGATCTACAGGAACGACAAATATATTGCGTGACCTTGGTCTTTTACAGGTGGATTCTGTGATGCATGGTAGCTGTTTTGTTGGTCTTGTATGGGCTCTGTTGTGTCCAAATGACATTACCACAATTATATACTCTTAACACAAAACCACTGACGACTCTCAACAAAGGTTTTCCATGGTTTTCCCTCTCTGGCCCACGTGTGCTCTATTCCAGCCCGTCACGCCCTATCAAACAACAGAGGCAAAGCTACTTCCTGGATTGGTGGCGCTCCCAAGCAATCATCATACCAGAACTGAATGCTCAACCTGAAAGCTTCACGCAATAGTTTCAACATGATTGAACCCAAAGCATTGGTTGGAAACCATTTTTTCAGTTGGAAACTGCTCAAACTAAAAGAGCCTCCTCAAGGAATGAGACCATGCATCCAGCCATTCCATGTTGGATGAAAAGCTTTCGGGACCAAAGAAGCGCAACTGCAGCATCTCCACTGAACAGCAGCATCTAGACAGCCAAGTGAGTTCCTCACAAAGAATGGCATTTTCTTGTGCTAGGCCAAACGATTCAAATCCAACATTTGGCAATTCAGCGGACTGTATTCATCTAAGCTTCTCCATACTCCAATGCCATGCAATTGATAATCAAGTATCCTGAGCAGTGCGAGTGACGGGAACTCACCCCCAGGGCGGCAAGCATGTCTTGAATGCCATTCTCGCTTTGTTGAGCGTTAAACTCTCAGGAACTGGAGAACCCGTGGAGACATAGGCCCACATCCTTGCCGCCCTTGCCCAATGCCCTTGCCCATACCTACCATCTTCATCCATCTTCCGAGCTGCGGCAACAAGAGCCTGATGCCTGAAGCCGCTGTGCCAAGGAGCGGGATGCAGCAGTATCGACCTCATCTACCCACTGCAAAAAGCCTATATGTATATATATATATCATTTGAATCCTTTTGTAGCGTCCACGTGTTGTATAACTTGTCGTGACATGTCGTGACAATACTGGAAACTATATTCGTAACATGTTTAATCTTTTCGAACAAGCTCCCTCACAGGCAAGTTTCGTGACTTGGAGGCCACAAAACCATTCCGGCGGCTTTGCCTCGGTGGCTTGGAGAACACTTGAGCAAGTTTGATGGCCTCGTCGCCGCCAAGGTGCCCCAAAGATCCGCAACCAAAACTGCCCGCTTGTTGCGGATGCATGTCTGGCTGGTGGCTCCCAACCTCATGCTAAGGCGAATGTGCCAATCCCACATTCTGAAGTGTCAACTCCACAGTTCCCAGTGTCTAACTCCAGCCAAGTCTCGCTTTAAAGCCACACCTGGTGAAGGAAGGCCCTTTCCCCATAACTGGAAAGGACTCGCAGCAAGCTAAGAAAACAAAGTGATAGGTCTGATAGGCAAACTACATCTATATTTATACATCAAGTGGTTGGAGCTTGGATTGTCCTCCTGCTGTTGTGGCTACACTGGCTTGATTAGACAGGAACCTGGTGTGTCTTCTAGTGGAAGCAAGCACTCGAACAGGGCCAGTCACTGCAGAACTGAAAGCTCGTGAATCGAGAGAATCCAGCAAAATGCCTCTAGAGTACCCGATGAGTGCCTGCACAGCTGTTCATCTGCCCATGGGAATGCCCTTGCGATGGTAGTGTTACCCACATCTGATAGCAGCGCCAACAACACACGAGCGAAAAGCTCAAACGGCAGCTCGAACGTCATCGACAAATTCGAATGGCTGTGGAGCCATGGCGCCGACGTTGTGCAACTACGAGGGTATACAAGGCTGTGATAAGCTGCGATCCTGGAGGTCCACTAACGTACACTGTCCATACACGGTCTAAAATCAGAAGCTGTGGTGAAAGCTGCCTAACCACATAGGCTGATGCTGTTGTCAATATGGAAGCAAGAAGCATCAATATGAAGTAGAACGGAGGCGTCTCACAAACGAGGCCACGATCCGAAACCCATTTTGTAAGGGCGCGTCTGCTTGTTGGTTGCTGCCTGGCAGGTACAGGCAGTTCAAACAGGCCAGAATGAACACATGTCAAAGCTTGCACCTGGGATGGAGCTTGTGCCAGTTGCACAAGCCCCGCCGCTAATTTGTCCTCTCGACTGCTGAAATCCTTTACTTGTGGCATGGTTTGAACAAAGTAAAGGCTAGCAGCTAGCGGCTAGCGCCCACAGAGTTCAAGACGCTCTTGCTTTCAGCTTCTTGTATCCACCATCAGTCCATGGCAAGCTCAGCTGAGATCCCACAAAGGCTCCCCAAACCTGACCATCAGCGTTGGCTGATCAGGCTGTTCAGCTTGATCAAGCTCCGAGGTGGATCAATCTATTGCAAGGCCTGGGGCAGGCTGTGTCACCACCTGGCCGTATATGTTCATTGCGCCAATGCAACCAGGAGGATGGACACCCCGAAGCACGGACGTTCCAACAGCTACTATGGCGCCTCGTCTGAGCTGCTCTGTGGTGCGTGCAAGCGCATATACTGAGTAGCCTGGGGGTTGTTTTCCTGTGATGGCTTCATGGAGCGAAAGAAAAGAACATGCGGCTGTCTGGCTGTCCGACCAAAGTGTCTACTCGTCCTCCAACACAAACCATCGTTGGAGACGCAACCCCTGGTAAGTGCCTAAAGGCTTTCAAAACACAGAAATTCTACGAATGATAGTCATAAAAGAACACAAAGAACTGGGAGCAAAGCACAGGTGCAAAAGCTGGGATACGGGCATTAACACGCTGAAGATCAGCCCAGGACCATACATAGAATTGATAGGCATTTGTGGATCGATCATGACTCCACGCCATGATGTTTGGCTTGCAAGCAAGCTGTCCTTTGGCAAAATCTGAGAAGTCTCGTGGTGCTGGATTTAGCATACTTGAGGATCACACCAAAGCACGCAAGGATCGCAGAACCTACATGTTGATCATTTTGACGAAGTGCGACTTGGAATTGAGTACTTGTGATTCAGCTTCCATCACACTGCAGAAGTTTCTGCCCGTTTGACTTGGTACAATAACTGTGAATGGACACAACAGGGTCGTAGCGACCGGTTGTTTTGCTGCACAAACAATGCACGCACGCCTCCTTCAGGTCCTCGGCAACTGATTCCGAAAGGGACCTACCTGGAGGAGACTCAAGGCTTTGAGCATGCTCGAGCACTAGCAGCATGCTGGCAACTGCATCTTCTGAGCTTCCCCACCTCCCAATGAAACCTGCTGCAGCTCCGACAAAGTAAGCGAGCGCTGAGGATTCTGTGTCATGACTTGAATTGAAACAGAAGGCCTGGGAGCTCCCTCGGGGGGATGCAGGACTTGCAGGAGCAGGAATGTTGCTAGATGCCTGAAGAACAGGTTCGGACTGATGGTCTACTCTGAGTAGCTACTCTACTTCTTGCTGAGGCATCACAACCCTACTGTAAAGGTTAAACAATCCAACACTTGACTACATCACGGCAAAAATGCACACAAATGCAAACAAGCTTCATAAAGTTCTTCGACCTGCGACACGGAGCCCGTAGCATTCCTGTGTTTGGATATTTTTGTATGCAAGCGTTCGCGTGCAACACCTCGCTGAGGAAGGCGTGAACTGATTTGGGTGCCTCCGGTGATGATGCTCCTCGCAAAGAATGGCTGCGCGACCTGCTGGTTGCTTGAAGATATGGTTGGTCACATGATATCAATGAACCTTGAACCTCAGGAGTCCTTAGCTTCGTCATGTTTTTGAACCTCAGGAAATAATTTTGGGTGAAAGTCTCCTGCCAGCAGCCCCGCAAGCTCTGCAGCTGCCCGTTCCAGGGCGGCGGGAGGGATGTAGTTTCGAACCGGATCCTGAACCTGACGAGGCTTCGTCAATCGCATGAAACTGACACATTCAAACGGATTTCGCCATGTCACAGTAAACCTCTCACTAGCTACGCCAGCTACTTCTCCCCCTCGCCGTGGTTGGAACCCAACCCATTCCTCACTGTATCATCCCTTATTATCCTTTGACTGGGGGTGCACACACACATGTCATATGCCCATCACTAAGCCAGTGGCTGGAAGCGAACTGTTTCCACTGCTTCCTTAGATGCTCTGGCCCCGGCCCCCTGGGATGCCAATACTTCCTTCATACGTTTTGAACTTTGAATCCGTTTGATGCGTTGACTTTGGCTTCGGCCTTGTGATTTCCAGTCCGTCCAAAGCGCAAAGGTCTTGGATTCGTACCACTTTGACTGTTTGCAAGCCTCTCTCCTCGTCAGAATGAACATATATATACACCACCATCAGTTTGTGTATTACTGTATGAGATTTCACAATTCTTACGGGTTGAACGGGGCATGACAGAACGGAACGAATTCAACAGCTGGAGGTCACAACGCCAGGTTTTGATGCAAAGCAAAACCACATCAATTGTATGAACTAGGCATGCATACCATTGAATACACACACACATACAGACATACATACATACATGCATGCATACATACTTACATCCATGCATGCATGCATGCATACCATGACATCCTCGACCCTACCATACCAAACCATACCCGTACATACATTACCTACATTACATTACAATACATTATATTACATTACATTACATTACAGTCATACATACAACATATACATGAATGCATGCATGCATACATACAATATTTTAATTTACATTACGTTACATTACAGTACATACATTCCATACATTACACACACTGCACACATTAGTGCTTACATACATACATACATACGTACGTACGTACATACATTACATTACATTACGTTACGTTACATTTCATTACATTACACTGCATTACATCACATTACATTACACTACATTCCATGACATGACATGACATTATATTATATACATGCATTACATACATAACTCCATAACCTAACCGGTCATATCATATCATACCATATCATATCATACATACATGGCTCAGGCCATTTAGCTGCGCAAACTGGCCCTCCATCAAGTCCAGTTGGTGGTTTGTCGAACACCTTGGGATTGGCCTTTGCCCGTGATCCTCGTGCTTTTGATTTGACCTTCAGCGCCTGGCACTTGTGCTCCACCTTGCGCTTCGCAGGTCTTGCACTTTGCGCTACCGGCAGGCTTTGCCCGTAATCCTTTTGAGATATAGGTGCGCAGGGCACTCAGGCCTGATCACAGACTGTGCCACACCCACACCCTGTGGATTAAGCACCTTTTTGACTTCCCGCTCAGGCCGGACGATGACAGGAAATCATCCTGGTGCAGGGGCTACACTATGCTCCAATCACAGATGCAGCAACTGGACTTGGTCTGACAAAATCCAAACTGGATTTCGATGCCGGAAATGTGATACGGCATGGAGGACCGTGGTGGCAAAGGCAAAGGTACGGGGCAACCTTTCCCAGGTCACCAGAGACCCAAAGGCACCTTGCTCGAGACACCTCCAAGCGTCACTCCATGGGTTGGGCGCTGCATGGACCACCATCCCAGCAGAGACCCCCAGATCAAGCTACAGCAACTAACCAGGCCTAGGGCCGCCAGCAGAACCAGCTCCAGACAAATGTTCTCATCTCTCATTTGGACGACGTACCCACACAAGTCGAAGATTTGGTTACCAAACCCGCAACACCCGACCCCCAATCTGAACAGCATATGGCAGGCAAGTTCAGAAGGTCACAGCTGAAAAGCTTGTCCTTGAGGAAAACACAGCTTCAACAACACCTCGGCACCATGAAGCAGCAGCACCAGTCCTGGAGAAGCCAAAGGTGTAGGGGGGGGTGTTCCAGTGAGATTGCTTGGCAGCGCCCATACAGACACCTTCCTGTCTAGGCACGCATGGCGCAGCGTCGTCAGGACTGGGGCAACTTGTGGGGCATCCGGCCGCTGGGACGGCCACCTCGAACGAGTGCGCCTACGATCAGCACCCTACCAAGCCTCAAGCAACTGCTGCGCCAACTTGAACTGGGTGCCCAGCTTCCAGAGCGTCATTGTCATGCTGCCCCAAAACCTGCAATGCGAAAGGCCAATCGTACTTACCTCCACCATTTTCAGACTGTGGCGCCTGCAGCTCGGCCTACCCTTTGCCATGCGGTACGATCAGGCTCGCCCAGGGGCAAATGTGCTGCGTGTGGCACTCAGCCGCTTGGAGATACAGGCCGCCGTGGCATCACGGTGCTCGTGGACGCGTCGACCTTCCTTCTATGACACCATATCCCTGGAGCACCTTGCCAGCCAAGCCCGCCCACTGGAGTACCCGCCTTGCTGCTTTGTCTTGCGCTGCAGCTTTATGCTGGGCGCGCAATTTCATCTTGTGGACCTTTGCCTTGCTGAAACGGGTCTTCTGCGCTCGGTCCGTGGTGGTGAAGGCCGTCTTCTTGGTGCTGACCTCAAGGCCCAAAAAAGCTGGATTTCAAGCCTGAGCAGCCCGTGTGGCACCTGAGACGTCGAAACCAATGTCGTCAACCAAGGTGCTGAAAACTCTTCAGTGAAGGGAATGACGGCCGGTGCCAGGATGGCCTCAGGTAAGAGAGGTGCCTGTGGGCACCCAGCCATGGATTTCCTCTGGCAGGATCGCTTTAGGGGAAGCGCAAGGCCTGGCGCCGTTATCGAGGTGCATTACGGCAAGCTCTTGGCAAACAACCAGGCCACCGCCAGGGAGGACTTCTCGATGTGGTCTACGAAATTCTTTGTGCCAAGTGCCAAGACCTGGGAGATCAGGTCATCATTCCTTCACCAGACCAGATGCCACACCTTGAACATGCTTGGGCCAGGAGTATGGACCAGGGCAGCAAATCGAACTGCCTTGTCATGCAAGACGCCAGGCTCCCTACGGGTTGGACTGGACGATCCACAATCAGTGCATCAAGAAGTTACCACCCAAAGACCGCACCTACCTCAAGTCTTGGGTCCAAAAGGCGGTCATCTTTAAAGACAAGCAACAGTCCAAGCCACGTCCCGCCACGTCCGAGCACATCACATGGCTCTGCCGGGGGCATCATGGCAAACAAAGGCAATGCCAATAGCATGGACAAAACAGATCAACAACCTTGATGAAGATCCACTATATGGTCCAATCAATGCCATGGAGGACCGGAGTCCATTCAATGGATGTTGGCAGGTCTCAGGCATCACCTCGGTTGCAGCACCCACCACCTATGATGTCCCTTCCAATGGCAGGATTTTTGCTGGCTGGGAGCCCTAGCTGGGCAACTGCCTGGGATACAGTCCAAGGCCAGGGCTCCGCTTTTTGGCCTTGTGACCATCACGAAGTACATCACCATGCACTCCGGTCAAGGTCATAGTCCAACTGACCTCTGTGTGGAGGGCCTCCTGGACTGATCCTCGATGCGGGCAAGGTTTTCAGGACCTCTTGGGCGAGACCGGGGCCACGCGCTCTGCGGAACTTCCTGGGGCAACGCGATGCAGGGCTCACTGCATGGGAACATGCTACTACCCTGTATGACAGTGACAAGGGGAAGGAGGAAGGCCTGGATGCTGATCACCTGCAAACCTACCAACACGCCCAAGCCCAAGGCTGTCTGTCAAGACCCGCGGCCACTGCATACATGACAAGCAGGAGCGCAAGCAAGCTCAACACACCAAACAACACAAGAAGCGGCTGGTACAAAAGTGCCTCGATGGAAGCGAGCTACAATGTGAAGTCTGTGAAGATCCGCATCCACCAGGCACAGGCCCTGAAGCCGTGCCCGGCCACAATGCAGGCTAGCCCAACTCTGCGGGCATACTTTACAAGCCACGCCCCCAGCCGAAGATGACCCGATGTCAGAGCCAAGGCCCACCAAGCTCTTTATAGAGCATGCCATGGAGATCGAGGAAGGTGGCACACCTGGAGATGACCATGATGAGAACCAACCAGGCTCTCTGGCCATAGGCACGGCCCTGGACGACGACACGACACGGTCACTCCACACCCCAACGATGAGAGCACCACACACATGGAAGACGAAGAGGGCATGAAATGACGGTGGACTTCTTTTGAACCGGCCCTGGCAACATGCCAAGCTCACAGTCCCTGCAACCACTCTAGGAGCAGTTCTTTCACATATATATAGCTATTTTTGGGCACCGGGGGTGCCAGAAGTGCACGGGCATTTTTGGGGGCATCGCCGACATCATGTGCCACTTTTGCAGAGCACTGGCTTTTAGGCCTTCCAAAGCAACAACCACTCTAAAGGAACATTCATACATACATACATACCAGACCAGACCATACCATTACATTAGATACCATACATACATGCATTAATTACATTAATTACATTACCTTACATTACATTACATACGTACGTACGTACCCACCCACCTACGTACATAGATATTGGGGAATTCTTGACATCCCAGTCCAGATGCAGTAGCTGCTTGCCTTCGCAGGGCCTCCAAAGGGATACCGTGTGGCTGTGTCACACCATTGTAGCAATGGCCCTGGTGTGTCAAGCCTCCAACATGCGGCCACGCAGTCGCTCCCCAGCACCTCACACAAAGTTCAAGAACATTAACTTGAGAGAGGAGGGGGTGAACGAAAGGTAGCAGGCAATCACAAGTAACCCTGATAGAAGTCCAGGAGGCAAAATGCCACACTGCAAACCTTAAATCGTACACCGTGAAAAAAGAGTCGAGGTTCATTGTATGGGAGAGACGAACTTCTGTGCTTGGATCGGCCGAGTTTGTGGCCACTTTGAAGCCTACATAGCTTAAAACCATCGATATTTACAGGGTTTTGTGCCGGGAAGGCACGCAAACCCGTGCAAATACCGTCGTTTTTTGCAATGTCGAAGCCTTCAAAAGCCAAAAAAAACCTTTCCGACAGAATCTTTCCAGGTTTCTGATAATTTTTCGACCATTTTTGAAGCCTAGGCACCTCAAAAACCATCGGTTTTTACGAGGTTTATTGCCGGACAGCCACAAAAAGCCATGTAAATTGCGTGGTTTGAGGCCACTCTTGAAGACTGGAGGAGCTGAAAATTCCGGTATTTACGGTGTTTTCTACCCGTTGACAAAAACGCGCCAGGGTGGAGTTGAAAGGGGGGGTCCCGTGGCCCCCCCCGGCCACTAAAATGACCGAAGGCGATTCTCAGTGAGATAGGCCTCCCTCCACTCTGGTTATAATTCATTTTTGCTAATGCAAAAGGAAAACTCAGGTAGCCTAACCGCAACCTTTCGTGAAAACACACGAAGAAGTCAATGAATTAATACAAAAGCCCTGTCTGAGCATGGTATCACGAAAATACGGCAAATCTCAGCCTACTCCCGGTAGAGGGAGGAGTTTGCAAACTCGCTCGCCAAACATCTGTAGGATTCTAAGGGCACAGGGTTGTAGCCTTACAACATGTATATATCCTGGTGTATCCTGGATATTGTTTGTGTGTGTATGTGGGCCGCTCTACGTACCAGTGGATGATGTAAGTGCATATGCATGTGCAGTGTGGTAGGCCAAGTGAGGGCCAAACCGCTGACTGCATTTCGATCCGTGTCTGCTTGAAGAGCCTGCAGCACGTATGAACTTCTGTCAACAGCAGGTGCTGAATTGGAAGGCAACTGGATTCCCATGGCACCAGGCAGCAACACACAGCAACCACATAATCTCAAGGCTTCCCATTTCTTGAACAAATGTCTTCCATATTTTTTCAAGATTCATCTAGTTAGTTCCCAGTGCCTTCGGCCCTGGCTTTACTGCACCTTGGCGCATGACGACTATGCCATGTTGGTTCGATGATAAATACCGCATTCTTAAAGGGTCAGAAAAATGTTGCAACGAGTCACTGAGTGAAGTACCTCCAGAGTGCGCCTTGCTTGGATATATACTTGAGTGCTTGTGCAGTGTCGAAAAGCTGGAGATCAAAACACCCACTGCCTCCCGGAGGGCTCGCTGGTGGGCAGCCTGTTCAGCACTTTTGGTTCTGAGGGCATCGTACAGTACCCGTGGACATGAAAGGCCGCGTGCCTCCAGCAATAGACGCAACAGCCTCGTATCCGACAAATGTAGCTCGACACGACCTCGGTCAAAGATTCATGACATCATGCATGTACATCGTGAGATCTAACTGCTGAGACCTGCCTGGAGTGAGTGTCAGCTCCTTGGGGCAAGGACTTGACAAGTTTGCGGTGGTAAAGAGCTCCGCCAGCAAGTGAAGCAACTCCGCCTAAGTATGTGCTGCCTCATGCCCTCTTTGCATGATGCCCCACATCAGCTACAGACTAACAAAAATAAACACAATATATATATATATATTAATACACATCTTCATGCATCGACAAACAATATACTGCCTCTTGCATGTAGGCCATGTCGCGTTGCAGGGTCAGCCTCCAAGCTTAATGTGCCACACAATGAACCTGTTCGCCTATTCCACACCGGTAGCAATTGTGCCTTGACTTCCTTGGGTAGCCTTGGTACTCAAAAACAGGGAAAGAGTGGAATCAAGCATGAAGCCCAAAGGTCAATTCATGCTGAACATCGGCCACATGCGTCACCCCTTCTTTTCCTTGTGCCATGGCGAAGCCTGTGGTTTGATCCTTCTCTTGGGGGTCGCATGCAAAGGCAGGACGCTCCGTCTTCACATCGAGCTCAGAATGCCGGGGCATGTTGGGGTCTCTGGTACAAGTAGCTCAATCACTGCTCAAATCTGAAAGGCTGTGCGACTGCTCTGCAGTGGCTTTTCCAAGGCCGCCCCTGTCATAGCTCCTGGTGTCCACCTTTGTTCTGACGTTTTGCCTCAGCTTTCACCAAAACATCATCTCCTGGACTGCAGGTGTGTCCTATGCTGGCTAGAATCGGCTTTCGCTCTTTTCTTCCGAATAATCTCCTCAGCTCACTGCGGCTGCCGGGGCCGGAGTATCAGCAAGCGAATCTTTCTGTTTATGCCTCCCACAGTTTTTGACCCATATTATACAACTATATAGTAGATTCATGTGCCACATAGCAGTGATTTGCCAGGGCTTTGTTATCAGCTGAGATTCCTTGGTCTGACCTTCATCCACAAGCTTGCCTTCTGCCAATGTCTGGTGAGAAGGTAGTGGTGTGCCTGTCTGGTGGTCGCACAATGGTGCAAAACGGTGCAACATGCCTTTTACAATTTGGAATCTCCCGACTTTAGCCCCACAATGCAATGCACACCTCAAAGACGGCCCAAAAAGAATCGAATGGCCAAGGGGCACTTGACGCTTTTGCTGGCCTTGCTCTTGAACCTCATCAATCCGGGACAGTATTGCAAGCCACCAGCCAAACCGCCTATTACTTGCTTGAGACGTTACGACAGTAAACACAAAGGCAAACAACCTGATGTTGAAACGTTCCAATGTCCCTTGGGAATTGCAATGGAAGCATCACCCTTGATTAAGGGTTCTGTCATCCATAGTCATCCAGGTCATTAGGGTTACTGTGCGCCATCTCAAGTGCACGTGAACACACCGGGAGAGAAACAAATAATCTGACACGCGCATATATCGGAGAAAGAAAAGAACACACCTAAGACCTAAAATATCCTGAGACTGCACACATCTGCTTTCCATAGTAGTCCGCGGAATCATTCTTGGATTTGCATTGACAAAGGAACTCATTGAACGAGGGCAGTTTCGATGTCCCAAATTGAGTTGCATCATACCTTGGCAATGCAGTCTTGAAGAGAAAAACTGTCAGGAAGATTGGGAAACACAACTGCTCTTTCTCCAGGACAACTTGAGACCAATGGGATTCGCGAATGAGGCCATTTGCAGCCTGGTAGTGCGTCCACAACCGCCGATGAGGTGCTGGTTCAAATCCCACCATCGCCAATCCGCTTCATGACTCCACCTGAGATGCAGCCTGCCTTGGCCACCTGATATGATATGCCCTTTCTCAAATTTCATGGAACTGTGCAAGCCAAAGCAACATGCACATTCATGCCCATTGCCACTGAGGCTCCAAATGTTTAGCGCCAAGTTTCGACCTTTGGAATTCACCTGAGGCAAGTCAGTTTTTCAAGTTGGATACACAATGATGCAAATTGACCTTGGTTTAATTAGCCCAGCCTGATGCCAATAGGTGTGTGGAATGAACAGAATATCACCGGGCCCGATTTCACCATGCAGCCAAGTAATGTTTCCAAATCGTGGAAACATGACAAGGTCAACAAAATCCTACCAGGTGTTCGCGCGTAACACGGCAACCCAAGACCAAAGCATCTCCACATTGTGTGATTTGCTGACTCGCAAACTGACGTCCTGTCGAACTGGAGATGTCCCGCGAACCTCGCAACACAAGTTGAAAGAAGAGATCGAATGACCACGGCACACGTTCCATAGCCGTGGCAAAGCCGGAAAACGAGTCAAACGCAAATGAGGCCAAACAACCAGAGTCCCTTGTGGCCTTGGCAATATGCGCGTAGATGTTTGGTGCATCATCCTGGTGTACCAGCATGACCTCCAGTTTTGTGGAATCAATAAATGCTCCAAGCGACAGCGAGAGGGAACATATCACTCAACGAGCAAAAAACATGCCGGAACAAAGCTGCTTAGGAAGGACAATTTGCACAAGGCACACTTTTGGTGCCATCCAGCAACATCAAGAAGTTCTCACCATCATCGTTGTGCAGCACCTTGAATGTCGACAAGCTTGAGCTGCGAGGCATGGTGCCTCCGGACGCACTTGGCATGAGGCTGACATGGTGCCACCATTGCTCATCCAAAGGGTAGCAGATTGGGGCCAAACCTCGGATCACAGACTAGCACCGTCAACAGCCGTGTACGGAACGCGCCGTCTTTCTACGTTCGGAACGTTTTTTTGTTTATATAACTGTCTCTCTCAACAGTGTCAACAGTTTCTGTAAAAACACCACCGTGACAGGCGTGCACCACATGAAGTGTTTGCTGAATTGCCGCGTGGAAAAAGGTTCTTTCTTCGGGCAGCGTGCGACTTGGGTTTGTCACCTCCACAAATGTAGCTTTGGGCCCTCGGCCTCTTCATATTTCTTTATGAACTGGCACCACCTTGTACCAACACACCCGAAATCACCCCAGAATCCAAATCCAAAATGGAGTCTTCTCCAAGTAGCTTCTTGACACCTTGCTGGCTGCGGGAGGGCCACGTCCGCCAGGGCTTGGGCATCATCTTCAAAACCTATGACTGCCTTGACAAGAAATTGTTGTCAAAGGACCTCTCAACAATGAGACAGTTCTCAGTTGCGTGAGTTGCAGCAAAGAGTCCCACATGCTTGTACGCGCTTGTGAATGCGTGCGCAACATGTGAACTACACTACGTTCGTGATAGATGGCGCAGACAAAAAATAAGATGGCGCATTTGGGCAATTCAGAACACTCACATAAGATGGCGTAACACTATTCATAGACACGGCCTCGCTCCAGCTGGAAAGCTGCGCGCTACAAGTACAAGTATCAGAAGATGGAGCGATGTTTTTGTTGATGGTTTGTGGAGTGGGTGGAAATCTCCTGCGCCCCCTCCCCTTCCCCTGCGCCATCTCCTGTGACCATCACCTGCTGCAACAGCTTTCCAATGGTTGGCCTTCCCTCACTGGTTGGCAAGGTGTCTATCCTGGTTGGTTTGCTTTGTTTTCTGTGCATTCCGCTCTCCCGTGACCTTGCTGTAGGCTCTCCGCCCCGTTCTTCATCGGCTCCCCTTCCCCTGCGCCAT